AAACGTACAGTGGTGGACCGCCAAGCATCCAGATGGTGTGGATGGTATCGGGACGTTTGACGTGTAGTGCGTTCACGAAATTTGGCGGCTGGGATTAATCCGAACAATTCCTCAGAGCACTCCCCGTGATAGATGCGATAAAATACGCAAAGAGATGCAACATCTCTTCGCAGCGCCAGTGAATCGAGCCGATCGGAAAACACTGGGTCGTCGACGATTCGAGCCGCTCTGCGCTGGATGCGGTCAAGTAGAAGAAGCTGGTACTGGGGAGCCCCAGCCCAGAGATGGGAACAGTATTCCATGTGCGGCCGAACCTGCGCCTTGTAAAGTTGCAGGCGGTGTGCCGGCATGAAATACTGTCCCGCTCTGCTGAGCACGCCAAGCTTTTTAGAGGCCAATTTAGCCTTCCCTTCCAAGTGACCACGAAACTGCACCTCACTCGATATGTCGACGCCGAGGATTCCGATACTAGCTGAGGCAACAAGGGGAGTGCCTTGAAACTGAGGGGATACGACAAAGGGGTTCGGTACAAACTTGTGTCTTCTGGGGGTTAAACTGGACTAGATTTAGTCGCCCCCAATCCGAGACTCTGTCCAGCAGAGACTCGACTTCAGACACAAGTTTGTCCCGGCACTCGGAGACGTTTTCCCGAGAAATATTGGCTCGGCCGGTGTAAAGAGCATCACCAGTGCTGTCATCTGCATAGCAATGAATGTTACGGGTATGCAACATGTCATTGATATGCAGAAGAAACTGCGTTGGCGATAGCACACAGCCCTGTGGAACACCAGCATTAATAGGCTTGCAATCGGAGCTTGCACCGTCTACAACGACCTTGATGCTCCGATCTGCAAGAAAACTGGTGATCCAATCGCACAATTTCTCGGGAAGCCCATAGGAAGGGAGCTTCGAAAGAAACGCTTTGTGCCAAACCCGATCGAAGGCCTTCGCAATGTCCAAACTAACGGCCAATGCCTCCCCCTTGAACTCTACTGCCTCCGCCCATCTGTGAGTTAGGTAGACCAGAAGATCACCAGCTGACCGACCAAGGCGAAAACCGTATTGGCGGTCACTAATCAGCTGGTGATCTTCAAGGTACCTCATGAGCTGGCAGTTTACAATGGACTCCATTGTTTTGGAGAACAAGGAGATGATGGCGATTGGCCGGTAGTTGGACGGGTCAGAGCGGTCGCCTTTTTTAGGGATCGGGTGGACGTAAGCCGTCTTCCATGATTTTGGGACTACGCCTAGGAAGTAGGAGTACCGGAAAAGACGCGTTAAAACCGGTGCCAACTCTGGAGCACACGTCCTCAGCACAATTGGGGGGATTCCGTCAGGCCCACTCGACTTGTGGATGTCCAGGGAGAGGAGTGCTTTGCGAACCGAGCGCTGTGTGAAGTGCACTTCCGGCATGGAGCACTCACACCGCGGGATGGTCGGCGGAGTACTCCCCCCGTCATCGAGAGTCGAGTTAGACGCAAAGAAAGAGCCTAGAAGATCGGCTTTCTCCTTTGCGGTATGGGCCAGTGAGTCGTCCTCCCTGTGCAGAGATGGAAGAGATGGCTGACAGAAATTCCCCTGGACAGCCTTGGCGAGAGACCAGAATGCACGGGTTCCAGAAGGAAGGCGAACTAGTTTCTCGCCAATTCTGCCTATGTGCTCTGACTTTGCCTTGGCAATGACTCTTTTGAAGGACCTAGAGGCGGAATTATACTTCTTTTTTAGAGCGCTGGTGTTTACATCCCGGGACGCTGATGCATCAGCCCAGGCTTGGTAGCACTCCTGCTTATAGGATGATGCTATTTTACAGGAGCGACCAAACCATGGCTGAGACTTGCCTCCAATGGGCACCACAGAGGAAGGAATAAAAAGTTCCATACCCTGAAGTACCACATCAGCAACAGAATCCGCAACAACGTTGGGATCATCCGGCGAGAAGCAAACCCGCCCCCAAGGGTAGGATGCAAAGAAAGACCGCATCCCATCCCAATCGGCTGACCTATAGTGCCAAACACGGCGGCAGCCTGCAGAATGCAACCGCGATTTCAGCGTGAGTGGCACCACACTCCGGACCAGACAATAGTCCGGAGTGTGGTGTTGAGTTTTTAACAGTGGTAGAGCCACGCGGCAGCTTTGCTGTTGCACGTATGGGCTGGCTCAAACCGGGGTGGTACCACGACCACACAGAATACCGGCGTGAAGTGGAAGCTCTGCTTCGGCGTTTCGTCTGGTGAGTGCAGGTGGCCGGAGGCCCAAATCCCCCCCCCCCCATCAACATGGTAGCGGAATTAAATAATGATCGACTACCCCAGGAGGGTACCAGCACCCCTGGAGAATCCCTCGCTGAGCATCCACGACCATGTTTCTCCACTTCTGAGCGTGGGGGCTCAGGCGGCCCCGCGTATTCTGGGGGGGGGGGGCAAAATTCCGCTCAAGACTACAACTGCTCGGGGCAAACGGAGCAACAAGACCAAGGCGACCCCTGCCACGCTGTCCGTGAACTTCTGCAATATCAGGGGACTTCACTCTAACCTAAACGCCGTCCACTACCATCTCGAGACGGCGAGGCCAGCTCTGCTCTTTCTGACCGAGACGCAGGTGTCCTCTCCGGCTGATGTCTCGTATCTCTCCTACCCGGGGTACAAACTGGAACACTCCTTTGTGCCTCAGGCTGGAGTTTGCGTTTACGTCAGAGAGGACATCTGCTCTCGACGCCTCGGCAGACTTGAAGGTTCAGACCTGTCCATCCTTTGGCTACGCGTAGACAGCGACGACCATCCGCGCGTCTACGGGTGCCTCTATAGGTCCCATAGCGGTAATGCCGAAACAGACCGACTCTTCGACCACGTCCAAATGGCTGCAGATTCGTTGCTACAGCAGATGCCCTCCGCAGAGATCGTGATCCTCGGCGACTTTATCGCCCATCACGCCGAATGGCTTGGTTCACGTTTAACCGATCATGCGGGGAGATCTGTTCATGATTTTGCCTTGGCATATGGTCTGACACAACTGGTTACTTCGCCTACGCGGATTCCAGATGTGGAGGATCATGCACCTTCCCTGTTGGACCTTCTGCTGACCTCTCACCCGGACGGATATCAGATTTCCGTCGACGCCCCTTTAGGATCGTTTATGGTTAATATTGGTTAATATTGGGGCACAGATTAAGTAAGTTACTACATAAATTGGGGGCACAACAACCACTATAATCGATCTATTAATTACTTCTTTCTTATTTTACAACAACAAAAATAGATAATATATACAATTTACAAGTGCAACATAAAGCAATAAATAATTTTTCTGTACACTGCAGTTTGCCTGCGTGAGTGTAAACCACTTTTACAGCTAGTATATAAGGATCTTATCTATCGACAAACACTTGTGTAGTATATATAGAAGTCTTTGTGTGTATGCTAACGGACAAACCCGAATTACGCAAAACTAGTTTTGCCTAGGCTAAATTAGTTCATCCTATATGTGTTACGCTAGATCGGTACGGACTAGGTCAAACTATGTAGTTCATCCTATGGCTGACAGAACAAACTGGTTTATCGTAGGAGAAACTGGTTGAGCCTAACATGAATAAGAACACTTCACGATAAAATGGTATGGCCTAGTCTATACTAACAGGGAATAATAAAATACCAGAAGTAATGAAATCAAGATGCATTCAATCAGATCAAAATCAATTTTACTTATTTTTGCATGGTGCTCTGATGGCACTTGTAATTGCAAATCACCATTTTTTCTTCCATTTGCACCTGTTGGTTAAACAGTTCCTTACGCAGCTGTACTTTAAAAATCCTTGCGCTTCCAACCGAATGTTTAGTGGCTGAAGTCCTCAGCGATATTTGAATATCTAGGTTGACATCGCCCATCTTTAAAAATTTCTGAATGCAAATAACGAATTCAGTTCTGAAAGAAAGAAAGAAAAAAAACAAGTCAAAACTAATAATGTTTCTGAGGTCACCTCTTCCATTGTCTACGTCTGGAATTGGTATAGCAATATTGTCTCCAATGTTGACGGGTGGATGCGATTTATCCGAAGAAGCTTTCATTTTTTTAGCTTGCTTTTTAAGATTTTCGGCCGCCATTTTTTTAGCATCTTGAATGTTCTGTGTGTCAATTTCCACAATGCCGCCATCATCATCTTCACCATTCGAATCATCTTCGATATTTTTTCTAAGGTCACCCTGAATATCATTTATTATTTCTTGCGGCAACGATGAAGTCAAAATCCTACTCTAGGCTCAATCTCAAATAAGGCCTTGTAAGGTGTACGTTTTATACCAGAATGAAAGACGCGGTCATATCTTAAGGCCTCCGACCATTTTGTTGAATCATTGTCCTTCAACCAAAAACTTATCATGTTCTCTATATCTTGATTAGCGCGTTCAACTGAACCCTGACTTTGACTGTGCCAAGGTTTTCCGTGCACAATTTTAAGTTCTAGCCAAAGGGTCGCGCACACACTTATCACATTATTAAAAAAAATCTCTACCATTGTCAGATTGGAGAATACATGGCGCGCCTATTGTTAAAAATTTATCATTTAGGTGATAGGCTACTTCTGCCGCTCTCTTCAAGCAGAAGAACAAATTTGGTTAGATGGTATTGGTAAACCACAATAAATTTAAATTTTCCATTGGTTGTGTTTGAAAATCGATTGGATCCACCTGGCATCTGCTATTCATTTCAGAGTGAAGAATCGGCTCCGAAACTAGTACTCTCTTCTTTTTTGTATTCTTTTGTTGACACAAATCACACATAAATAAGATAAATAGAGGTTTATCATTTCTTTTGTGATATTAGGATATTTTTTGATGTCTCGGCTAACACCCTGTCACGTCCACAGTGTACAACCGCCACATGAGCTGCATCGATCACACCATAAAGCTCATCAGCCTGTACAATGTAGATACTAGATAGTATTTTATATTCCCATCCGTTAAAGCTATTAGTTTTTTTACATATTCACATTAGCACACCAAATCGTTTCAGTCGTCTTTATTGTAATGGTGTTCTTTTTTCGACTTTTCAGCATCTTCTACTTGTTCAACCAGTTCGGAATATTTATCTGAAGGCAACACATTATAATGAGAAGACTTTTTATATTCACTTTCCAAAATTTCTGTTAAAAACTTTTCTCTCCACTGTTTTTGATCAACCTGTCTACTAGATATGGAAGGCTCATCCATGATTACACAAAACAAAACTGTATTATGCTTCAAAAATATTATTTATATTTTCAAAACACAAGTAACAATAATTCGAAATTCCAAGCAGAATGAGCGTTTGGCATTGGCATTGGCTATTAGTTTGGATATTGCAAAGGCCTTCGATCGGGATTGGCACAAAGTGCTTCTTTTGAAGCTCCCCTCACACTTCCCGAGAAATTGTACAATTGGAACACCAGCTTTCCTGCAGATCGGAGCATCAAGGTCGTTGTGGACGGTGCAAGATCCAATTACAAGCATATTAATGCTGGTGTTCTACAAGGCTGCGTGCAATCAGCAACACTGTTTCTTCTGCACATCAATGATATGTTGCAAACCGGCATCATTCATTGCTATACAGATGACAGCACTGGTGATGCTCTGTACACCGGCCATGCCAATATTTCTCGGGAAAACGTCTCCGAGTACCGGGACAATCTTGTGTCTGAAGACGAGTCTTTGCTAAACAAAGTCTGGTTTTGGGAGCGTACTAAATCTAGTCCAGTTTAACCCTCAGAAAACACACACAAAAAGAACCCCTTTGTCGTATCTCCACAGTTCCAAGGCATTCCCCTTATTGCCTCAGCCAGTATCGAAATCGTCGGCGTCGACATATCGAGTGACGTGCAGTTTCGTGGTCACTTGAAAGCGAAGGCCAAATTGGCCTCTAAATAGCTTGGCGTGCTCAGCAGAGCAGAACCGTATTTTATGCCGGAACACCGCCTGCAACTTTACAAGACGCAGGTTCGGCCGCACATGGAATACTGTTCCCATCTCTGGGCTGGGGCTCCCCAGTGCCAGCTCCTTCCACTTGACCGCATCCAGTGCAGAGCAGCTCGAATCGTCGACGACCGAGGGCTTTCCGATCGGCTCGATTCACTGGCGCTGCGAAGAGATGTTGCATCTCGTTGCGTATTTTATCGCATCTATCACGAGGAGTGCTCTGAGGAATTTTTCGGATTAATCCCAGCCGCTAAATTTCATGAACGCACTACGCGCCAAACTTGCCGATACCATCCACAGCATCTGGATGCTTGGCGGTCCACCACAGTACGTTTCATTAGGAGTTTTCTTCCACGTTCGACCTCTCTGTGGAATAGTTTACCACGGGCGATTTTTCCGGACCGATACGACCTGGGGACCTTCAAGAAAAGAGTTTATTCCTTTCTAAGGGGCCGGCAACGCACCTGCAATTCCTCCGGTGTTGCGGATATTCATGGGTGGCGGTAGTCACTTAACATCAGGTTAACCGTATGCTCGTTTGCCCCCTCTTCTATAAAAAAATCACCAAACGGGATAGCGGGGGACGCGCGGGGCGTGAAAAATACGATAAGGGAATTTCCCGGCTGCACATCACAGGTCTCGACACGAACCCGCTTAAACATTTTTGGATAGGAAAAACCAGTTTATCCTAAAGTATACTTATTCATATTAGGCTAAACCAGTTCAGCCTAGGCTAAACTAGTTTGTTCTTTCGGCACAAACGCATTTTTTCTCCTAACGCATATAGGATGAACTAGTTTGGCCTAGGAAAAACTGGTTTAACCTAAAATAGGGTATTTCCGGTAACATTTATAATATATAATACGACCAAACAAAAACCAATTGCTTGATTTTTCTATAGAAATTCAAATTTCAAACTACCTGATATATTTTTTATTTTATTTTATTGAATAAGGTACACAAACAGACGTGTAAGGTGCTGGAGAGCCATTCTAATCTCGCTCAGACTGACGTCCGGGATATCATCGGAATAGTGTCGGATAAGACCTGCTCTTGCATCGTACTCACATGTGTACAGCTGCCCATAGAACCTCTCAATGTCACTCAAAATCTCAGGTGTCCCGGAAAGGATGCTGCCACACTCAGTCTTCAGCTTTTTGAAGTTGGCTCTTACTGGCAGACAGATCTCTGGCAAAGACTTTGGAGCCCTGGTTCCGCTCGATAGCTTTCCTTAATACGAGCAGTATTAAAGTTGCGTAAGTCTCGCCGCAAGCATTTGAAGATCTGTCTGTTCAGTTGCCTGTATGCTGTCAAATCTGTTAACGATTGCAGCCTCATCTCCCGTCTAACAGCCATAAGATTAAGAGTGCGATTGGAGAGTTTTTGTGTTCGTCTGCGGCGGGTCTTGCAGAACTTAGCTCCGACTGCATGGACAGTTTCCACGAGCTTGTCATTCATATCGTCCACTGCATTGCAATCTTCTAGGCACTGAAAGCGGTTACGTAACTCGAGCTGAAAGGTTTCGGGATTCTGGATTAGAGCACGAGGGGGACGGAGCGTTGACTTCATTAGACGAGACCTCTCCGACTAAACGTTTAGGTTCCGTGGGGCCGCTTCTGGAAGAAAGTTTTGTTTTGATTCTCAATCGAGTGTAAATGTAGATATCTGTGGGCTACAGCATCCGCTTACCATCAGGTGGACTGTGCGTTCATTTGTCACCCTTATTCTATAAAAAAATATATTTAAATGAAACTAGTTTTTAAGAATTTTATCGCGTATATTGACTTATTTTGTATTCCTGTAACTAACTAGGTATTTAATTTAAAACAACGGAAACTATGTAGGTCAATAACGAAAGCATTGGATAAAAATAAAAGAGGAAATAAATATTTAAGAACATAACTATACTTGACAATATACTAATACACAGTATACTCGACAGTTTAAATAATCCGCATTTTATATTTTGGTTCAGTTAAGTTCCGACCGCGAGCAATATAGTACTCTGTTATCTTTTTTGTTTTAAACTATACCTTTATTTAAGTCCGTGATGTACCTGTCTTTGAAAATATCATTCATTTCGATATTAGCTTGTATTGTACTAAATTTAAACGTTCTTGGGAATAATGATGATGATTCTAAGGTGAAAAATGCCTTCATCGCCAGTAATGTTGTACCCGACGTCATCTCGGCGCCACCATTCCGTTACATAAGTGTGAGTAACCTATATGTTTACTTGCCTTTAGGGTGTTATTTTTTACTACTCGTACTAATCTTTATTTATGGAATTAAAAAGCTACAAACATATTTTCTAATTAAGCATAATCACGAAAAAATAAACATTTTTCATCGTTATACCTGCCCCATATACATATTATTTACATATTATCTATGGTTGTACCTATTTTCTATACCCACTATAATTTACAATGTCTTGCTAACAGGGTTCGAACATATCATATTGTATCTCACCGTAAATTTCATCATATTCGAGTAATCCAGATTTCACCCCCCTAATGTGTACAATGATGTAGACAATATTTTGTTAAAAGTTCTAAGTGTTGATTTACAACATGAATAGTAGTGAAAGAAAATATAGTGAGCAAACATGGATCCGTGGATTAAAGTTTTCGAGGATATGTAAAGTTCACTGAAAATACTGAGGTGACACGAGGGATCAATGAGGACTAATAATATTCCGTTCACCAGATGTCGCTAGTTGGAACTGAGGTGAAGTTTTTTGTTACACAAACTTATAATTGAGAAGTTGCGTTTTAAATAAAACTAGCTCACCAGGCAGACGTTGTTCTGCCCTTTTCGACGACCCTTTGTCATCTCCGATTACAAATCCATAAATTCGCAAAAAAAATTTAAGTCACTCATGGGCAAAAAAACTATCCTATCTCTCAAGTTGGACCAAAGTGCACACGGTTTGCAAATTTGATTAAAATCGGTCTAGTAGTTTAATAGTCCATTGCGGACAAACAACGTGACATGTAATTTATATATTTTAAGATTATATCGTTTCCTAGAGTATTATACATGTAACAATAACCCTGTGGTTCCCGTTAACTGCGTTATCAGAACCAGTATCCAAGCGTATAGAAATTTTATTTTCAAAAAACATTTAAAAAAATTATTTTAATGGAAAAAAATTAATTTGCAAATTGTATGTGCTTTTATTTCCTCTAACTCACACGAGTATCGGTGATGCGGGGTCTATGACAATCCTCTTACTCCTCGGCCAATGCAGAGACAATAAAACCACATACAATTAGCAAATTAAGTTTATTCATAAAAAAAATTTAAATGTGTTTTTTGAAAAAAAAAAATATTATTTCTATGCGCTTGGATACTGATTCTGACAACGTGTTTTGTTACATGTTGTATAAATACAAAAATAATGCCTAAGGGGTTGGTTTCTTAACGTTATTCAATTTTTTTTGCTTTTTTTATTCGGTTTTTTTTTCTTTAGTGTAATTTATTGTAGCAAGTAATTGCTTTTTAAATTTTGTACCAAAAAATTAAATATACCACGTTTTTTCGTATTCCTACATTCAAACATACAAAATTTGAAGACTCTAACTAATCGGAAAGTGCTCGAAATTTGAGTCGCAAGATTCCAACCGGAACGACAGACAAATAGATAGATAAACAAGAAAATGACGTATTAAAACCGTGGTAAAATACGACTAATATTACAGAAAAAATTAACTCTTGGCATTTTCCTAACAAATTAACTTCCCCGCCATATAATTTGTCAAATATTTCACCTCGTTCCTAAATGGCTCCGCCTTCGTGGCAAAATAGTCGTGGATCATTGTTCCATAACTCTTAGAAATGAGAGGAGGCCTGTACACCAGCAGTGTGGCGTATATAGCCTGTAATTATGTCTATCATTCTGTCTAAAAGATTTTCTACGCTCGCACCTAACGTTATATCATCATTGTAGCTCTTTACAAGTCCACTTTTTTATATGATAGGGTCACAAACGAGCACACAGTCCATCTGATGGTAAGTGGTTGCTGTGGTCCATAGACATGTACATCTATCCTCGATTACGAATCAAAATGCAGATGCGTTGTCACCCGTGAGGACTAAGATGGAATGCCTCGTTTCCAGTAAAAAGGGTCTCCGGTTCTCTACAGTCTACACTCACCACACGAAACACAGCAGCATTAAGCTACCATTTTACCCCTGTATTCTGTGAAAGCGTGGTCCTTCCTCGGTCGAGCCGACCCATTCGTGCTACAGCTATACTACTAATATAACTGCAGCATGACTCTACCACGTCATACGGTAACCTCAGGGAATACCCCAAAACACAGTCATGAGCCAACTGCTTCTAAAAATTGCTGTCCTTTAATCTCAAACTCGAAACTGCCTGGACCGATTTCGTGTGTTTGAGTGGGTCCCTGGATGGTTTAGGTTCACAATTGGACCCGGTAGGTAGCGTTGTAGTCGAGATCTAGAAATCCGTGCGAAGCCGGGGTGGAATGCTAGTATATTATATAAATAAATATGTTTTCCAAAAATATATCTTCTAGATTAAGTATCCGAGTGGCGTAGAAGTTGACCTTGGTAATAAACTTGCGTCGATTGAAGTTCGGAATAAACCGACTGTGAAATGGGAAGCCGACCGGAATACTTTCTACACTTTAGCTCTCGTTGGTGAGTACTTAACTACGTAATAACAGATAATAACAATATTTTTTTAAATAATAATAATAATGTTTATTAGTGATGTAACAGACCTCTGCTTCTGATTCCGCAACTGCGGAAGTTCTGCACGCTTTTGGTATCCGTTACTGCTTCTGTTTCCGCAACTTTCATAACGGAACTTTGATGTCGGTATACTTTCCCCAAAGGTGCCGACCTCAAATTGAGAATGAAGTCCAACTTACGTCATCATGGATGATGAATTCATCATTAAAAATGTTAGAATCCATGTTGCAGTAGTAATTAGAATTACAATCTCTTTTATAGACGTAATCTACCTTCAGGAGTATGTGTTGGAAATGAAATTCACACAAATATTGTAACCTTTTGCCGTTAGTTCGCCAATATTTAACAGTTCCTCCAAGCAGTGTCACCAGTGAGCAATTATTTAGCGAAGCTATTCTTATACATGAAAAATACCAAAACAGATTTCTATGTCATAAAATATACTTTACCGCTACTTAATTTTAAATGTTAATTTAATAAAATTTTATATTTGTCATAAATTGTACTTCTTACATAGTATTTACAATTCCGCTTCTGCATCCGTTTACGTTTCTGTTTCAGCTAAAATTTACTTTTGACTTCTGTTTCTGTGTCTGCTTCCGTTATGATATTTTCGAGGCATCAGTAATTTTTATTACAATAAACTGTACAATTAATTTAATTAATGTCTTAATTTAAAATAGGCACCTGTGCTAGGATAAACCTGTATGTCAGATGTATGTGCTAATAGATACATTCAAATTCAAATTCATTTATTCATTGCCAGAATGTAGTAAATAATATTATAATGATTTTATTTATTAATGAGACCTTACATTCTACGATTATATTGACGTGCAATATCTTTACAATATACAAAAAATATTATTGAAATTTAATGACGTTAAATTATTGAAGGAAAACAATGATGTAATCTTTTAAAAATATTTCAGCACCAAGTTTTTAAATTACAATAAATACATGTCAAAATTTTATTAATTATGTAAATATTTATACATAAATATCAAGTATCTAAAAAAAATTAAAAAATGTCAAAAATGAAAATAAATATTAAATGAAAAAAAATTAATCAGTTTTTCCACTATTACAATTATTGTAGATTTCTTTATAGGTCATATATTCGTCTACACTATTAAAACATTTTGTTGCCAGCCATTCTATGAGTTTCCTTTTAAAAATAACAAAAGGTAGGTCTTTGAAAGTGTTAGGCAATTTATTGTAAACTCTAATGGCATTTATAAATACATTTCTTTTATATATATCAAGTCTGCATTGAGGCAGATATAGCTTAAATTAATTTCTTGACATGGCACTTCTACTGACTAAACTTGAGTTAATGATGAAATATTGTGGATGATTTTTGACAAAAACACAAAGTTCACGTATGTACATACAAGCTAGAGGCAGTATGAAAAGTCATATAAGAAATTTGTGAAGTAAAGGCTTGCAACTATCTAAAGACACAACTGGCTCCACAAATGGCCCTTACACACTTCTTTTGAACACGAAAGGCCTTGCCAACCTCAACCAAGTTGTCATTAACAAATATTTTCTGTTTCTTATATAAAATGAATAACATTGCAACTAATTAGAGTTATTCCGGTTACATATATTATCATTAATTTACTTAATGATATTAATTAACTTAAAATAATCAGTAACTTTTCCGTATCATCGTTTGACAAACCTTGTAACCATGTTCGAATTACATTTTTACAATCTGTCATTTTTATCACAATCTGAAATTACTATTATTATATTTTGACTTTTGATTAATTAATATAATTTGACTTAATTATACAGAAAATGGCTAAGGAATATAAAATCTATGCATGAAAGAATGTCTTATTATAATGTTAGTTTCAGTTAATTTATCTTTGCGTCTTTTATTAGTGACCTCTCTTCTGTAGGGCAATTTTAAGTGACGTTTTAGTAACGTACTCATACGAATAACTGGCGTACTGAGAGGACATTACAGAATTTATATAAGAGATGGGACTGGAATGGGATATAGTAAAACGTTGTGACTTTTAATAGAGATTTTTGAGCGCATTCCAGTTGTCGCAGTGTAGTTTTAGCTGCTCCTCTCCACGAGGTTATACAATAGGTGAGAATTGACTGACATAATGCGAAATATACTTGCTTTGCTACCTTTGTATGTATAAGTTTGTAAGATAATTATACTTCAACTTTTTAATAAATTGTTACAAAAATTCCAATATATTTTATATGAAATTTGTGAAACGGAATTATCTGAAGAAGATTTTACCATCAGTTGTAGTTTGTCCCTATGTTTCATGCACTTAATCAGACCGTCGAAGGCCTTGGATAGGTCACAGAATATATCCAAAGCATCCTGTGAACTGTTCCATGCATTGAAGATATATTTAATCAGCTCAACACCATCAGTTGTCGAGTTACCCCTTGTGAAGCCTAATTGATATTTATGTAGTAAATTATTTTCATTGAAAAAATTTTACATTTTATCAAGAATAATTCTTTCAAAAAATTTAATAAGTGTTGGCAGTACATATACAGAAATATATCTAAAATTGGCGGGGCCCAATGTACTACCAATTTTAAATAAATGTATTTATTTTACTACGCTTCACTAAACCAGGAAACACACTATATTCGATACTAGTATTAAAAATAATAGATAGTTGAGGTGCGATTGTATCTATTATAGTCGTAGATAATAACTTGAAACTGAAATCTTTAATCACATATTATGCGGTTTTCTTAATATCAATAATTTTGAAATATTTTACAATAAGCATCTTTTAATGATTCTTAATGAAATGTAAAATTATTTGTACACGCATTTACATTTTGTTTAAGTAATGATTCGGCGACGGCAGGAGAATTAAGAGACTTAGTGATTAAGATCGGAACATCAGTAGAATATTTTTCAGAAATCATTGCATCGTCCTGATCTGATTAAGTTCATTTGTTGTTGAAACTTAACTGGTAGTTTTAATTGCGAGAGTTAACCTACCAGTTCTGCTATTAATTATAATCCATGTCATTTTAATTTTATTAGAGGCCGAATTTATATTGTTACTCAAATACAAAGACTTGACTATGGAGCACATTTTTAAATATTTTTTTAGATATTACCGAAATTAGATGCTAGGAATATATTTAGTTCAGTAGTAGAGGAGGGACACATGACTCTAATGAAAAATACCACTTTTAGACCAAATATTTCGCAAACAGATCCTGAATCGAAGATGTTCCAAATCCCCTGTATTTTTGTCAAATCTACCCAAATATACCCAAACACGGACACAGGACGGATTAGAAGGGTAAAAAAAGTATTTAGGCGTATCGGAGGTATCGGAGGAAAATAAAATGTTTTTTAATATTTTATTTCACAGATGTAAAATTGTGGCAAATTACAGATTTGTAGCAGCTAGGATCTCTGAGTAAAACCGCGGAAAGACGGATGGACGGATGGACAGATATGGCGAAACTATAAGTTTCCTTGTTCAGTAACTACGGAACCCTAAAAAAGTTGGCCGTCAAGGACGCATTGATAGTAGCATATTTGAATAAGAACCAATAAAAATATGGAGTAGATAAATATACAAATTGTTATTTGTATATTGTCACTGATTTGAAATCTTTTCAGCACTTACCAATTGTCCTTTCAAAAACAATAATATTAAGAAGAAATACAAAGTGTAGAAATACAAGCGGTAACCGCGTCAAACTTTAGTCGGGCACAAATAGTACACAATCCACACAAAGAAGCAAAGAAGTGTATACGCACACGCACACGCACACACACGCACACTCACTAGCACATGCACACGCGGTGCCACAAAGGGGGCATGCCGGCATGAGGCATCGTCATGCCGTTTGCCGTCACGGCATACGAGTCGGTATTACTGCCAACGCGCACCTAATGATGTTTCACACCATAAACCGTGTAACAATATAATATTTTGATTTGTGTGATTGATAATATATACAGGCTGTCCCAGAAGTCGACGTCAAGCCAAAACTTTCTGATAGGCGAGGCCATATTAGTTTCCAGAAAAATATAAAAAAAATCTAAGTCATGTATTTCAGAAATTATAGTAATTTTTTTTCGATAAAATGTACACCATGAGACAGTTTTTTTCTTTTTGCCAATTTTTTTTCTCTTACGTCATCCTGAATAGTGCTTCTGTAACCTGTAATCCTAAACCCTGTGCCGATCACTCCAGCTTGAAAGAAAATGTAATTTTATACGGAACCAAGTTTTTCGCACTACTTCAACTGACCGTCCTGGAAAAGAAAGTTTTTTAAAGCTTTTAGCTTTTAAAGCTAGTTTGGCAAGTAGCTTTAAGTTAGCGCATTTAATAAGGATTCTAACGTGGTATAACACTTACTCCATTATTTCTTAGATCAGCCACAAAAAATTTTTTGTTAAACAAAGTCAGTTTTTAACAATTTTTTGGAACTTACATTAAAACGATTCTAGTGCAACCAAAGCGTTCCTAATTACCACAGCGTGGTTTAAATGAGACAGAGAGAGACATTCCATAAAGTGTGAGCGAGACAAATAGTGACGCTTATGAGACACAGACGCAAATACAAAGTAAAGTAATAAAATAATGGTTATAAAATTAAGACAGTCAGTTTCGTTTTTATGATAAAATTTATTACTTATTTTACAAAAGATGTTTAAATTGCCGTCCTTGAGCTGCAATACAAGCCCGACATCTTCTTAAAAAAAGATCGTGAAATCAGGCGGGCGAATCTTCCATTGTTACAAAATTCAACTGCTTCCGCTATTCTCTGTCTAAGCTCTTCTACATTTTCAATCGGCTTGGAATATACTTTTTCCTTCACTGCTCCCCAGTAAAAAAAATCTATAGGATTTAAATCAGGTGAGCGAGGGCGGGCCACGAGATCGGACCAGCCCGCCCTATCCATCTGTCCGGATATTCCTCGTTAAGGTGTTCTCGAACTAAGC